CCCCAAAACCCCAAAACCCCAAAACCCCTGAAAGTATCTTTTCTATTGATACAATAATAAGGTTACCTTACGAGTCACATAAATCTTCTTCAGGAAGTTGTCAAGCCTTAAATATGGAGGTAGTGACCATTAATATCCTTCAGAAAATTTTTTTGGTGATCACCCACCAAGAAATATTGAAGATACTGGAGTTAAAGCCCAATCTGCTGGAAAGATCACTGAGAGTAACATTCCTCTGTTTATAGAGACCAAAGCTGAGATGATACAGGATGAGATGAAAACTCTTGAAGATAAGACTAACCTTCTTCTTGATGACCTTGTTGTTGGAAGTAGCTCAAAGATATTTCAGCCTGATGAGAATAAAGATAGTTGTGATGGATCCTTTTCCCCAAATGTTTGTAAAATAGATGAAAAGAAATCAAGCACAGGTGAAGATATCGAGGACCTTAATAACGTTAGCAAGAACTTGAACAGGATTAATCAGGACACTTATCTGCTTGATCCAGAAGGAAACCAGCTAACTCCTGAAGAAAGGAAGGTTGCTAATCATGTGTATGATATTTTACAATGGTCATGAATTGACAACCATAAATCATTTAACTTAACACCAAAGGATACGCTAGATATAGAATTGATCAATCCTAACATCAGGGATACTTTATCATCATTAGGGTCAATTAAATGTAAAGATCCAGAAAAGGTGTTTAAGCCTCCAAGAAGCATTATTTACCAAGACAAGGAATATCTCTTTCATAAATTTTCAGGTAAAAACTTTGCCTTTGTCAAGTATAAGTGAGTGGATTATCATAGATGAAGAGGCTCGATAAAGATGAGTTCAATAGATCCTCTCAAGCCGGTTGAGCTTATTAGACCTCATGTCTCCGATTGAAGATCAGATAGTTTTGGATGGAAAAGTCAAGAGTCATTGCCAAAGTATTATGAAGTTCAAGAGAAGTATAATTTCATAGTAGATTATGAGATAGCTCAAGCAGCAGATACAACTGAGCATCCAAATAGCATTATCAAAAGATTGGAATTAAAAGCAAAGGATATGGCTATAGAAGAAGGAACTTATATTTTCCCTCCAGATAGAATCAATTTCATGAAAGCTCTAAAGCGAGAACGTCGTGCAAAAAAATCCAAAATCAAACTTAGACAAACTTCTTTACCACCCAAACCTATGCTTCACTAAAAACAAAGAAAAATTCCTCCGCTTCACCTACAGCATCAACGACGAAAACGAGATAATGCAGCAATGAATCCTCTGGATCTCCGACAGTAAGCTAAAACTCCTCAACAGCTTCCCCCAATCCTTCATCTCCCTCTCCTACACCAAGATCCCTTCCTCCTTCCAAGTCCTGCTCACAATCCTGACCTACTGCAAGACCACCCATCTCTTCCACCCCTGCGCCTTCAGCCTGCTCACCACAGACAGCTGTCCCGCCCTCTACACCCACTTATTCACATACCTCTCCCAATCCCTCTCCTTCCCCCCCTCTACCCTGACCCTCCCCCTCCACTCAACCCTCGTCCCCACCCTAAAACCCCTCTTCCCCTCCACCCTCCTCATCGGCTGCTTCCACTCCCTCCTGCACAAACTCTACACCTACACCCAAATTTCCCACTACAAAACCCATCCACACCTAAAATCCTTCTTCGCTTGCGTACAAAAATCCCATTTCCGCTACAGTTCCCTTAAGAAATCCCTAGCTTTCACCAAAAGTTCACTAGAAAACACCGGAAATTCCGGTGTTTTCAGTGAACTTTTTGGGGAATTTAGGAAAATTGTAGGGGAATTTGGGGAAATTTTGGATTATTCAGTGGTGAAGCGGGTCAGTTGTGAGATGGGAGAGAGAGTGGAGAGGACAGGAGGGGAGATTAGGGAGTTTGTGAAGGGGATAATGGATGTGGAAGGGGTCCAGGAGGGGGAAGTGGGGGTTAAGTGGGAGGAGTGGGGGAAGGAGAGGATGGAAGTGGAGAGAAGAGCGAAGGAGAGAGCGGATATGGTGCTTTTGGATAGTGATGTGGAGATTGATCCCCCGCTGAGGCATTATCATTGTAGGGGGAGAAAGCCGTTGATGAATTTGTTGGTGGAGAAGAATGTGATAGGGGAGTTTGGAAGGAAGAGGAGAGAGGATGCAGGAAAAGCAAGAGCGATGGAGAAAATTGAGTATGAAAATAGGTATCCCGTTCCGGTTGACGGGAAATTGTTCCTTGTGCATAAGGTAGCCAGGAAAAGAATACTCAGACAGAGAGTTGATAATACTCCAACTATAAAAGATGAACCTTCAATATAATTTCTTTCTAAAGGGGTTTTGGGGTTTTGGGGTTTTGGGG